TATATGGTGGAATCATACACATTATATAGTATATCAGTCTGGCAAATCAGCTTATCTTGGTAAAATGGAACAGCTTTTAAATATCTGTACACTCTTAACACTAGTCAATCAAGCATTATGTTATGATATTATGGTAATCAAGCACTGTTTAATGATAGACCTTCAAATACAACTAAAACTTGCCAACCATGTATGAATGCATTTTTGCCATTTTAACTGAACTAAGGACTGGTGCTGAAAATAGATCATAGTAATAGATTATAGTTATTATTATAAAAAGATAATAATACTAGTACTAAACCACAATATACTAATGCACTAAGCCAGGATGTGTAGATGTGTTTTCAACTGCGATTTAAAAGTACTCAACGTAGTAATACTTCGTAGGTGAGGTTGAAGTGCGTTCCACAGGCTTGGGCCTTGGACGGCAAATGACCGACCTCCAAACTTCTTATATTTGAACTTAGGAGCCACCAAAGAGGTGTATTCAGAGGAGTATTATTATTAGGAGTATTTTATTGTATTATCGTACAATAAAACTTGAAAATGTCTTGAGCTTATGTTCACCACAGACCTTATTTAAGCCATTTAATCAAAAACCCATAGACTTGGACAATGGAACCGAAAGTGCTAAAATGCTAACTTCCGTGTTTTGGGCAACAAAGGGATGTCATACCTGCACCACTCTATACTCCAAAACTGAGGCTATGTTTACACAGAAACGATTCTGAAGAGAAAACACAAAAGTGGCGTTCCGTTATCACTTTTTATTCTGCGTTTAGACGAGCGTTTTGGGTGGGAAATCCGCATATGGTGACGCAAAAGTGTGTGATATTCAATGTAATATGCACTCCAGGCGGCTAGGTGGCAATGTGGAGCACTGCCACACAACAACACCAAGTCCACGCGCCTGCCTACAACCTTCACTCTCAAGCAGACTTTTGCGTTTTTACCTTTACACTGGAACACGGCGGTGGAGCGTTTTTAAGATTTCCACTCAGGAGGTTGGTGTCACTTTTTTGCATTTTCACCCGCGGGCATTCTCGTGTAAACAGGGCCTGAACCTGAATCAAATCTAAAACGAATAAGGAGCTTGAGAATCAGAATCAAATTGGAAAATCTATTTTCTACTGAGTACAAATAAATCACATACATATATGGAGGTTTATTAGCTAATAACTGCATTTTAAAAAGCACAAGACAGCACAGCAATCCGTTGCCTTTACTGATCAAGTTGGAAATGATTGCTGAATAAAAGCTAACTTTTCTTCATAAATCACAATCCAAATTGGCTGCTTAAAGGAGCTACAGTTTTGCCAAAATGCCAGTCCTTAAAGCTGATCTTGGATCAATAATGTTCATGTTTTAGAAAATAAAATAATTACTTCAGTTACTTTTATCATCAAGACCTACCCAAATCCAGTCTTGTGTTCCTAGTATTGCTGTTGTACTTTTAGTGGTCGACAAATGACAGATAAAAAAACACTTTGAATATCATAACCGTGCATTTAAAATGCGCTTGGCCTGTTAACAACCAGACAAAATGCTTGCAACATCAAAACATCAATATCAATGAGATTCCCTGGGATATTTTTGGCCGAAGCCAGAGTAAAAAACGCACGGTTTGACCCAGAGACCTAGAGATAGTAACGTGACAGACTCATTGTTCAAAGAAACTGGCCTGCTTTCATCCCCGGCTTTTTCCCGAGCCACACTGGCCCAAGCCATCTGCTTTATTCTAATACGGGGCTTAAAGATGCTGTTTTTTTTCAAGGCTTCCCAAATACGATAAACAGCCTTTATGTAGCTCACCCCTGTTTACAGCATGCAGTATGCTGTGCTGTAAAATATTCACTGTTAAACTGTCAACGATGCTGGCCACTCGCCCGGACTTCACAGTATGGTGGCACTCGCCCTCAGTTTACGCCCCCCACCCCCCCACCCCCCCACTTCTCGAGACCTTCCAGAGCAGTTCAAACGCCCCACGAGCGTCCAGGCTTGGCTTCAGGCACGTGTACAGTTTTTTTTTTTTTTTGTTATTCGATGCCCTGCAAAGGCACCACCAAAGGTTTCCGAGTTCCAGCTTGGCGTGACTTCTGAAAAACAAAAAAGCGCCACAGCTTCCGCCTTCAGCTCTCGAGCAGGCTGTTTGTTTCCCTGACTGATTGAATGCAGAGAGCAGGGTCCTGTCGCGGAAGATCCCAGAACGAGGGGGTGTTACGTCTCACTCCAGCCACAGACCTCGACAGCCCTTGGGCCGAAGAAACTCAGCGGAAAGCTGACGAGTGTTAGTATGCCAGGCTGGCGTGCCCGGCTATTTGCAACACTCGGGTATTGCGCATTAAGAGAGACAGGCTTTCAAAACACACGGCCTCTTGCCTTCTCTCCAAGTCATCCTGTGCGAAACATTAAGTGTCGTTTGCAGTGAGGACGTAACAAATGCCGATAGCTTCCCGTACGAAAAGGATGTTCTTTTGGATCACAGTGCATATTTGTTTGTTTTTTCTCATATTTTGTGACAAACGCAGGCTGTCAGCATCTCCATACTGTGTTCACAGTGGCATATGCATTGTGTAATTATGCTATGAAAGAGTTCATTTCCTGGGGAAATCTAAAGGCAAAAAGGACGACAAATTTCACAAACATTTCTGTCTTGCGAAAAGAACTCAAATTGTGCCAGATCAGCCTTATATAAATGTCAAGATTACTTGCTGAATAATGACAATAAAACTAAATGTACACAAGGACACATATGAGGGTCAACTAATGATATACTCTAAAATATTGCCTACAAATAAAATGGGTATATTTAAATCTCCTCAACTTTAATGGTGATTATAATATTAAATACTTTAATATTACTGATTATAATATTAAAATACTATAATATTAAAAAAATAAAAGTCTGTAAATGTTCCATTTAGCATATGACCAAAATTAGTTGTTTTTTTTTTCAGCAGCCAATATGATGTCTAGAGCGTTGAGTGAATGATTTAATGATGAAACTTGAAATGTCAAATGAATGTATTAAAAATGTATTAGATTGAATTAAATTTATAGATATTTAGGATAACACAATTACACCATTTTTTTTTTAATAAAGAAATTAAAGACATTTTAATACACATTTTTAAAGGAAGTTGAGACCATTTGTTCAACATTCAACATTTTCAACATTTCATTCAAATTTTCTGTTAATCGGACCACTTTGAGGTTTGAGGTGGATGCTAATTTCAGTCAAATATCATTCGATTTACTGCATGGAATCAACTATATACTAAAGTACTCTTTTACTGAAGAAAAAGTACACTTTTGAGTGTGTAGCAGAAGATTAGGCAAGTTTGGGGACATACTACAATGTCATAACTGTGTCTTTAACAAACTCCATTGTTGGATAATTCCTGTCACCATAAACTGGCCTGTCAATCATCCTGTCACTTGTCACAATGGCCTCATTTACACACTCCACATTTCAGTTTGTTCAATTTATGCAAGAATTCTATTCACCTTATTTTCCCATCATATTAGATAATACATTTTTCTCAAAATTTCACATCACAAAATAGAAATATCACTACTATCTATGCCAAATAGTGATCCTTGAGTCTCAGACCTTTGCAACAATATGAGTTTTGTCAATATTAGTAAAAGATGAGATTATAGTGTAGTAAATTTTGTACGAATTTGAAACATGATGTCGCCCACTTTGGGGAGAAACCTGCTAAAAAGTTATAAAGTACCATTTCTTTCTAAACAGGTTTCACATGATGACTTTTGAGTGTTTTAGCTTTCAACAGATCAAATACCTAATATATGCGGATTATTTATATATTAAATATTTTATAGGGGAAAAAAATAGAGGGACACGGACAGTTAACAGATTAAAATGATTTAATGTTCACATCATATTTTGCAAACCTGAAAATTGTCATTATTTACACTCATGTTGCCAGCTACATCCAGTATGAATTTCTTTCTTCTGTGAAACTCACTTTCATTGTATCATCCATCACTGAGAGGTGCCTCCCTCAATCTGTCATTCTAATATTTGTTTTCCACAGAAAAATAACATAGGCTAGGTTTGGAAAGACACGAGGGTGAGTGAATGAACAATTTGGGGGTGAAATATTTGCTATAACAAGCTAAAAAGCCCTATATTTCAAAGTTTGCTTAACAAATCTATTTAAAATATTGTGCTGATTCATTGTTCAGCGTCATTCTAAACCTGACTCCACAGTAATTTCACTGGATGTATAAAATACAATGCAAAAACTTCTAATAACTTCTAACATTGGCCTATAAAAATATAAGTGACCGAAAGACGTGATATTAAACTTGTCCACTGGTTCACTTGTATCATTGTGAACATTATGGAGGTCCATCATGAACCCAAAACATGTAACAACGCGTTGCTGTCAACAGCTGGAAAGTGTTGCCAAAGTAAGAAATCCCTCACACTCACATACAAAGCTTAGTTGTGACTTCTCAAGAGGACCAGAGCATTAAATACCTTTGTTATTAGCTTTTAAGGTTATTTGGCCAATGTCAGATAAATTAGGAGTGAATTTCCCTCAACATTTCTACTGCATGTGTCACACTGACAGACGTTAGCTTAGCCACAATGCTCTAACTAACCGTGCCATGTCACTGCAGTGGAAACACAACCAACACTCTTAAAACAGCTCCAAACTAACTCTTGAAACAGCGTAAGTGAATGTCGGAGTGGATAAAATACTTTTTAGTGTTGAATCAAATAATCTGAAAGTTTGTCTCGGCTAAATTAGTGCCACAGCAGCGTTAGCCTAGCGCGCTAACGCAAACTAGCCCAAAGTTCGGTCAACTTTTCCTCAGCCTTTTCTGTTATAACCTCGTATAACATTTAGCGCATAGGCTACACATTGCCTTACCGACTCGAAATATCATTGTTGAGTGACAATAAACAAGGAAAAGTGATAATCAGTTTTTGAAGTTGACAGGAGGGAATGATGTTAAACTCTTACCAGGAAGTGCCAGCTGAGTTTCACGCGCTGAGGATGAGGATGAGGATGGTGTCCCAGACTGTCAAGGTCGAGCTCCTGTTGTGTTCTTGCACGACACCGCAACACCAACGCGAGCTGTTCGCGCGCGACTATAGAGAGTGATGTGTGTGTTCTGTTCGCGTCAGTGTGTGCGTGTGCGCGCTCCTTAACACGCCATTCCAGACCTGTGAAAGTTACACACACATCCCAGCATGCTCGAAAAAGAGGGCGGAGAACTTCACACAGGCCAATAACTTTAACATTCTCAGAGACAAGAGTAAACTAAGGCTTATGCAGAAAGATGAGTTTCAGTTATATTCTATCATGCACATCTCATTTCACTTGCAAGTCTATTCTGCTCTATTCTTCGATGAAGATTCACATCACTTCTATTTTGTTCTGTTGTCCTTCACAATTATCTATTTATCTATTATATTCTGAAGGTCTCACTATTCTATTTCACGTCACCTCATCTATTCTCTATAATATAAATTTTACTATACTCCTCTACACTTAATCTGATTTGTTTCAGTTCACTAATATTCTGTTCTGTTTCACTTGAGTTCTATCCTGTATGTTCCAATTCAATTTTATTCTACGGTATTGCCATTTTCATCTCACTTCTATGTATTCTCTTGTATTTCACCACACTTCTATTTTCTCAGAACACTAATATTCAAATGTTTCAGTTTAGTTCTATTCTGTAAGTTTCACTTTTCCAGTGCAAGTTTCACCTCACTTGTATTATAATGTCTTCTCTTGTTTGTACATTTCACCAAACTTGTATTTTCTTGTTTTTTTTCCAGTTCATCAATATTCTAATCTGTTTCTCTGCATTTCACCACACTTCTATTTTCAGTGTTATTCAATGTTACAACTTTTACCTCACTTCTATGCTATTGTGCTCTATTATATAAGAAAGGCTAACAACACTTCTATTTTATTGTTGCACTTTACCACTATCTATTATAATTTTTAAGTATATTTTTAAGTTTTACTATTCAGTTTTACATTATCTAACTTCTATTCTATTCTCTTCACTGCACTTCTATTTTATTTTATTCTGTTCTGCTTCAGTTCAAAACGTTATGTTCTGTTTCACTTCAGTTCAATTCTGGAAGTTGCACTTCAGTGTTATTCCATTTAGCAAGTTTCATTTCAATTCTATTTCATGACACTTTCATGTCACCACATTTCTTACTGACATTGGTCTATTCTGTAAATTATGCTTAACTGCTCTTTTATTCTGTAATTTAGTATTCTATTCCTATTTCATTTCCGTAAGTTTCATTTGTTGTCCTTTTCTATTCTGTATGTTTCACTTCTCTGTTTTATTTTTATTTTTTTGCTGTTCTCACTTCTATTCAAGTGACTAGGCTACTATTTGTTTCAGTTGACCTACACATCCGTTTTAATCTCCAAACTTCATTTAATTTAATTGTTTTCTATTCAATTTAGATCAGTTCTATTGTACTATGTTACAACCTAAGTTTTGTGTTGGGATAATACAAACAGAAATATTTATTAGAATTAGCAAGTAGTCTACCCATAATATGACGATTTACCAGTAAATGTGAAGATACGTTTCTATCTCTGACTGTTTTTAAATCGTAATTTTGGCCATCCCTGAAATGGCTCGTATCATTAACTTGACCTGGGCTGTTGAATTAAATTATGCTAAAACAGATTCAGCAATCATCAATGAAAAAAATAAATAAAATGAAATGCAAACTCATAATATTATGTAAATTTGCAATACTTTGCCACAAGCTACAAGCTGTGCCCTCTACTGTACAGGTACGAATATGCATTTCCTTATTCATTTCACTTTTGGTATTAAAGGGCCTTTACATTTGAAAAACATACTGTATGTTTTTTTTTTTATTAAAAAATCAAGTTCGTCCAGCCCAGGTGAGAAAAAGTAACGGAAAAGTAATATAACATCTCTTCATGAAAAGTAACTAACACAATCAGTTACTTTTTTGGGGGGAGTAACACAATATTGTAACATATTAATGTTAAAAGTAACTCTCCTCAACATTTAAATATATATATATAAACAAATTATGATGTTTCTGTTGTTTGTTCTTTAGTTTTTCTAAATATTATACCTGTATGATCATCCAATGGTAAAACTATAGCCAGACGTGTATAAAATAAAATAAATGAAAGGAATGTAAACAAAAGTGAAATATGAATTAGATTAGTGATAATGCCATTTGCTCATCAAGTATATATATATATATATATATATTTGAAGAGCAAATGACATTCCTTTCCAATGTCAGGCTGATTAACACGTTACGCCAATTTTCATTATAAACTAAGACTTTTATTTAGTTACAAAACAATAACCATACCAGCATATCAAAAAAAAAAAAATCAAATGATCAATAAATTATGACAACAACTGTTTTTACATTGCTTTAACTCATCAAAATAAGTTAAGCAATTTTCAACTTTTTTATGTTATACAAGATTCAACTAATTTTTAATGCAAGTTAAGTTTAAATGATTTAAAAATCCTAGTTAAATGTACTTAAAAAATGAAGGCAGCAACTTTTACAGTAATAGTGTCAAAATACTATCAAAAGGAAGGCTATTTTCTGTTTACACCTCACAACATTAACACTCAAACCACATCAATATAAGCAATATTATGTGTTGTCACCAAAAAAATGACTGCAATAAGCTGAGAGGATACTATACAGTACTATAACATCCAATCAGAGCATTTGAGGGGAGCATTTTCTGTTCCGTATAAGGAAAGTAACAATGTTTTCTCCTACATTTTGACAGTTGATAATCAACAAGTGTTGTGCGCTGCTTTTCTTTCATTTCTTTTTTTCCTGTCTTGACACTTCAATAGCAGTTCTGCTAACCTCCTCACAAATACCATATAAGAAAGGTAAAGCACACACTGTGTGTTTTCCCCTCTTCTTGAACAAGCGTTGAAGATTAAAAGAAACGTCTGCGGAAAATCTGTCAATTCTGTTGGCGAATAACGGCAAGCTGGAATTTAATGGCATGAGTTATATTGGGCTCCCTCAACACCCACATTTTGCTCTCAATGAGATCAATGCTGCTTCATGGCAGATAGGGACTGTCTTTAGTATCTTCAAATTTCTGGTTTCTGAGGGAATAATTAGATAGATGGATAAGAGGCAGCTCTTGTGACTGCACGCAGGAGCTCTGGTTCAACACTGCAGTCTGTTGTCTTGAAATCTGTGTAATAATCAGATTGTGTCGATTGTTCTAAAAGTAGAACGACGGCAGCTTCATAATGTTAACTCTTTTTTTTAGATATTTGTTTTGCCAAAATCCTTGTTTGATTTCATATTTTTTTGGAATGTAGATGAGCCTCCTCGTATCTTTTTTCGGGTCTTGTTTGTCTTTACCTCTCAGACAATGAACTTTTTTGGCAGTGCACGAAAGGGTCGTGCTGTAGCGCATAAAAACACAACCAGCTTGATTTGATTTATTATTGCAGCTGTCGATAAGAATGTCTACGTGCATTTATGTAAACACACGTGTGACTTGTGTCTGTTTCTGTTTGCTTGTGTGTCTGTAGTCGTGGAATTCGGAAGTTTTGTTTTCTATGTTTTCATGAATGTACATTATATATACATCTGGTTTTTTATTATTGTCTCTTGAAGACCATCTTTTAAGCGTACGTTTTTTAAAGGACAAAATTTGATTTCCATAAATGTCAATCTCAGTCTTTATTTTTCATCATCCTTCATTTAATTACAGTCAGAACGCATTATTATATATACTGTAAATTTACAGTATCAATTCAAATAAAGCACTAATACTCTGAATAACATTAAATAATGTCATGTGAATAGATTCACATGACTATTATCAATTATGAATTGATTCATTTCTGTATGGATATAATTGAAAATGTGTATGATTTTGATTTTTCTTTCTTATTTACAGTATATACTTTAGACACTAATTTTTATAGATTAGACACTAATAATTTATAATTTAGATAGATAGAACATTTAATTAACTGTGATCTAAGAATTATAGCATTTTGGGTGATTTTACGAGTCTGTATATATGTGGTTAAATTTAGAAAAATGCAAGTAGACATAAACAACAACAAAAAGTCTATTGAAAGGCTTAAGCAAAGCATTGTTACATTTTATTAAACTTTTCAGCTTCAGTCATTAGTTGTTGTTTTTTTAAAGCTTGTTTTTGGTAGTGTTCAAGCACTGTAAAAAGTTAAAATATTACCTTAAGGTCCAAATTTGATATTTGAAAATGACTTAGAGATAGATAGATAGACGGACGGACGGACGGACGGACGGACGGACGGACGGACGGACGGACGGACGGACGGACGGACGGACGGACGGACAGACAGACAGACAGACAGACAGACAGACAGACAGACAGACAGACAGACAGACAGACAGACAGACAGACAGACAGACAGACAGACAGACAGACAGATAGATAGATAGATAGATAGATAGATAGATAGATAGATAGATAGATAGATAGATAGATAGATAGATAGATAGATAGACACTTCATTATTTGGGTGTGTGCACCTGTATCATTGTACATTTGTACACTTGCCTGATCTGCATGTTAGCCATTGACCTCTGAACTTAATGTTTCCAAAATTTCAGATGTGTTATACATCTGCTGCTAAGGGTCACAGAGTCTCTCTCTCTCTCTCTCTCTCTCTCTCTCTCTCTCTCTCTCTCTCTCTCTCTCTCTCTCTCTCTGTGTGTGTGTGTGTGTGTGTGTGTGTGTGCGTGGACATGCATGTTTAGTGCAGACTGCTACATGAGCATGTCTTTTGGCAGAGTAGGAAGCAGTGATATGCATACTTTCCTGGGATAAAAGGTGCTGGTGTGGAACTGCCACTGTATGGTAACACACACACACACACAGGTGCCAGGCTGACTGTACACATCATCTGACACCAGGCCTCTTGCTTTCTCGTCTCAGCTGTATATATGCAATGTACCTGTCGGTGTGTGTGTGTGTGTGTGTGTGTGTGTGTGTGTGTGTGTGTGTGTGTGTGTGTGTGTGTGTGTGTGTGTGTGTGTGTGTGTGTGTGAGTGTGTGTCCCTCTCGGGCTCACTCTACCGTGTCAGTCACAGGAGCACCTGAGTCCACATCACACACATCAGCTGTTTACACACCATCTTGTGTTCTGAACCACAGATATTCACTAGAGAGACAACATTGAGAAT